GGAGGGAGGAGGCCAGACAAGGAGGGGGAGGGGGAGCAGCGGTGGCGCAAGCCGCGCGGAGCAGCGCAGCCTGGGTCCGCTCCTTGCTTCGCCACCGCCTCCCGACCCGGCCAGCAGAGCCGGCCCCCCGGCCCCCCCGGAACACCTCAAAGCGGACGAAGGAGTCCATGTTGGGGAACTTGGCGGTGGAGTGAGGGGGACCTAGGGACCTGCGGTGGGGCCGTCGCGTCGCCAGAGCAAGCGCTTCGACCTCGGCCTGAGGTAAACACGGGCCGACCCCAGGGGTCGATGGGCTTGGGCAGCTGTCGGGGTGGGGAGGGGGTGAGGGGCCGGCGCAGAGCGGAGGATCGGGCCCGGGGCGACGGGAGGGCGGACAAAGTTTCGGAATGTCGCGCGGCCCAGGCGGCGTCCTGCGCTTGGAGGAAAGTTGAAGCTGCCTCTCGAGGCGGGGGGAGGCAGCAGACGGGAGGGCCCCCTTCCCTCTCGCTTCCCCGAGAGGGAGGCCCCGCTCTGGCCGCCGCCGCTTCACTGTTGGCACCCCGTCCCATTTCCTCCTTGTGGCCTACGCGCCTCCCGCCGCCTTAGCCGGAGAAGCCTGTCCCCGCCCGGGTGCGGGGTCCTACGTGGGGGAGGCGGCCCGAGAAGGCGCTCCACGCCAGAACCGCCACAGACACCCCCCCCTCCCTGCAGTGGAAACGTGTCCTGCTGGGCTTCCGGGCGCTTCCGACCCCCGGGTCTGCTTGACTTGGGAGACTTTGCTTTTGTCACTAGCGTCCAAGCCCGCTTGTGAAACCAAACTTTACTAGTGTGACCTCTCCAGTGCTCGAATCGGGAAGAGCCGGCGCTTTTAAGCATCAGGCTTTTTACCCCAACGCCTGAACTTCAAACTATTTTTTAAACTCGCCACCTGGGCTGACAACTAAAAGGGCAAGGAGATCTAAACTGACACTAATCAGTCGCCCCTGGTCAGACCCAGGAATTTTGAGCCATTAAAGAGATCTCTTACAGATGGCTGGCGGTCTTGCCACTTAACACGTATTTTGAAAATTGTTTTAGAAGCACAGGCCGGATTTAGAGTACATGATTAAAACATTCACAGATTCAAATGTTGAATTTTAAAACACCCCCGATATATTTCTGTACTGTGTTACATGCAGTGCCTAGGAGCTGAGTGTTTTTCATTTTGGATTACATTTTGACTGATATCATACAACCAGTGAACTAAACATTCACAGATTCAAATGTTGAATTTTAAAACACCCCCGATATATTTCTGTACTGTGTTGCATGCAGTGCCTAGGAGCTGAGTGTTTTTCATTTTGGATTACATTTTGACTGATATCATACAACCAGTGAACTAAGATACATAAGCAAAACTGATGAGAAAGTTTCTAATATAATGCTTTGGTTAGTAGATAGTGACGTTAAATTTCCCCCAATTTGGGAATTTTTCTGAATTTGGGGGAAAGCATAATAATAATAAATGCATTATTTTCTCGTTTTAAAAGAAAAGTTAATTCATGCGTATAACTGGTTACCTCAGCAGTAGAATCTTGAAGGCATTAAATTCTTGAATAACTATTGGTTTTTGTATTTTGTTGGTAATTGTATTAAAGTGTTGATATGTAATCAGGTCTCTTTCCGTACCGTTGCTTTCTTTTTCTGCTTCTTTGGTAGTTGGCTTAATCACTGTTTTGCCATTGGTTTGAAGCTGCAGGAAGTTTATGGGACTTTGTTTTAATTGTCGTTATAACTGATTGATTGGGCAGGAGAAATAAAATTTTGAAACTGTCTTTGGATTTCTTTTGTTTTATATCATCCTATTAAAGATAACCTGAATTTATTCATATCGCATTAAGGCAATATGAGTTTTTTAAAAATTAGCAATTCTTATTGTAGCTGCTCTTTAGCTGTAATATCTTTTGGTGCTTGCAAGTATTATCAACAATCATTCTGTTGCACATTCAGGTAGTGACTTTTTGGCCTGAGAATTTGAGTATACTTTTAAGGTTTTGGTGGGGTAAAATTTGAATGTTTCCCTACTGTAACTATACTCATGTTGTAAGGACGTTCTTCAGTATGTCAAAGGGGGAAGAAGACTGTAGACGAAAATGTAAAGCTGTTCCTAAATAGCTACCTGAAAACAAGTGTCATGAACAAAATTTTAATGAGACTGTTTTTCTTGTAATATCATCATGTGGGAATGGGGCCCGTGGGTTAAGATTGAAACTTCATGAGTTACTTAGCTTCCCTGTTATCCTTTGGGCACTAACCAGGGCTTAGGCAGTTTTCTTGAAAACGTGTGCTGTTAATCAGCAGAGATAGGATGAATTAGTGCAGTTACATGATGCTGTTGATTTATCAATAGCATCTTTTTAGTAATAGAGTGCAATTTTATACTACAATCAATTTAATACTGAACTTTTCAGGTACATCAGTGCAAGGTAGTTGTCAAATCTTAAAGAGGGTGGCAGACTTAAAAGTAATAAAAAGTCAGCCATAGATACATAGAAAATTACAGTAATTTTCATTGTAACATCCCTTTAGCAAGCTCTGCCATCATCTGCTCTGTCTTTTAATGACGTAAATTGGATTTTGACTTACCATGCCCAGTAAAATAAACTTAAAACTCAAATTCTTAGTTATATCCTCTGTCCCCAAGAATAGCCTTGCACCTTGTCTTGCATTTGAGTAGTGATAACTGTTAGTATCACTGAGTAGAGACTTAAAATATGCAATATTATTCTATTGCTGTTCCCACACTCATCTTTGCACTGTATTTTAAAAATTTTTTTAGAGTTGTGGCTTTATGATTTTGTAGTACTTAGGCACTTCGAATTTTAACATGAAATGTAAAAACACTACCATCATCTCTCCCTTACAAAATAACTTCCTAAAAAGTCACTGTGATCTTTGTTGACCTACAGTCTTTAACACTCACCAGCCAGAGTTATCCTGATAAAATATTTCAGATCATTTCACTTCTCTTCATAAATGGCTTCCCCTTCTCAGTAGTAGTAAAATTCATTGTACTGACCGTGGTCCAAACAGTTCTGAGTGACTTCTCTGAGTCTCTTCATCTCTGACTTATCCCCACCCTTTTTCCAGTCACATTTCTACTGTGCTGCTGTGGTCTTTAACTACTCTAATAACAACAGCCCCTCCCCCCACATTTTTTATCCCTTCGTACACCAGATTTTTATCCATAGCATTTATCACTTTCCAACATACGTTATAATTTGCCAACTTAAGTTTATTATATTTCTTCTTTAATGCAACTTATATGAGAACAGGGTTTGTCAGTTTTGGTCACTGTTTTGTCCCTGGGCACCTGAACAATGCCTGACATGTAGGTACTTAGTAAATAATTAATTGATTAACATGCTTTCAGCTATAAACATAAAAATAGTAATTGTGATTTGAAACTTTGTGCATGTCTGTCTCTTGTGTAAACTGCTAAGTACTTATATCCTTGCATGTGGACCATATTCTCTCAAGACAAGAGTGGTAAAACTATATTGTTAAAAATGTTGTAATTTAGAAGCCTTATTAGACTTACTTTTGATGGTTCCAGAAGCAGAACTAAGATTGTGGTATTGAAAGGGAGGAGAGACAGCAAGAGTGGATCTGGGAAGATTAATTAGGAGGCTTTTGCAGTAGTCTGGGAGAGATGAGGATAGCTTGAATCAGGAAGAGAATTGTGGAGATGGGCTAAGAGGATGGGATTTGAGATCAACAGGCCTCAGCTGATTGAAGGTAAGGAGAGAGAAATTTCAAAGATGACTCTTGAGTATACAGCTGGGTTGATGGTACCAAATAAGGACCAAAGTTCTTTTGGTTTTGACACTGGTTTTGAAGTACTGGGGAGCTTTCTGGTGGAAATTTCTGTTGGCAATTAGATATGTTTCTAAAATTCACAGGAGGGGTATGGGCTGGAAATAGAAAATTGGAGTCAGCTATATTGGAGTTTAGGTAATTAAAACGATACGTATGAGTGAAATTGCCTAGGGGAGGGAATATAACTTGGAAAAAAAGCATTTAAAAAAAAGTTTGCTGGGAGAACGTGAACTCCCAGAGAATACAGTGAAAGTCAGAAAAGTAGGGGGTGAGTGTGGTGTTACAGAAACCAAAGTAAGAGAGTGTTTCAGGGGGAGAGTTGTCAGTAGGGTCAAAGTGTTAATGAGAGTTGAATAAGGTAAGAACTAAATGTTTCGTTGGGCATGACAATATGGAGCTCATTGGCCTTTTGAGTAAGCAGTCTAGTAAGTTTTTTAGATTTAGCTTCTGTAATTGCTTAACTAGATCTAAAAGTACTGAGATCAAAGTTTAAGAAATTATCCCACCCACATTACAAAAGAGAGCTAATGTTTATCAAGTATTTACTGTGTCAGCCTCTTTTGCAGACATTACACAGAAATTTTCATTTGATCGTTTCAGTAGCATTATAAGATTGAATATATTAGTCCATTTTACAGAAATGAGTCCGAGGCTATAGAGAAGTTAAATGACTTTTTAAGTGTCAGAGTACTTGCTAAGTATGGAGCTGGGTCCATCTGACTCTTTGGCCTTTACTTATTCATTATATCAGTTGCCCTCCCAACCTCCAGATCAGTGCAGTCCAGTAGACATTTCTGCAGTGATGGAAACGTTCTGTTATCTGCACTGCCCAGTACAGTAGCTGATAGTGACAAGTGGCTATTGAACACTTGAAATTGGGCCAGTGCAACTGAGGAACTGAATAGTGGTTACCGTATTGGACAGTGCAGATATAGATCAAAGGTCGTTGAGGATCTCAAATAATAAAGCTGAATCTTATAAAAAGAAGAGGTGAAAATAACATTCATTTGAAAGAACTACTGCTGTGCTTATCTGCTAGTATAAGGTGCTGTAAATGAATTCTCTGGGTAATTTTTTTTTTTATAAAACAATCTCAAACTTTCAGAAAAGTTCCAAGTGTGGTACAAAGAATTTTTCCCCCTTGAACCATTTGAGATTAAGTTGTAGATGCAGTCTCATCACCCTAAACAAGTACAAGGACAGGGACTTCCTGTACAATATAACCATAAAAATTAGGAAATTAACCTTACTATATTACTACCATCCAACCTCAGACCTCATTCAAGTTTTGCCACTTTCCACACTAATTTCTGCCATAACAAAAGGATACAGTTCAGAATTCCGTGTTGCATTTAATTATAATGTCTTTTTAGGCTCCTTTAACCTACAGCAATCTCTATCTTATCTTGATTTTCATGACTTTG